AATTATTTGTAACATTAAAAATACCGTTTTGTACATTATTTTAACAGATTTTTAAAAAATAAAATAAATTTGATTAAAATTATTTCAAATTAATAACTGAAACTATTTTTTTTGTTGAATAATATAATAAATATATTCAATATTTTTTTCAACATTAAATAATTTGAATATTTTAGTTACAATTATAATATTATAGCTTTAATGTAATTATTTATTTAGATGATATACATATTATTAGTTAATTTTTTAAAAATAAAAAGTATAAAAATATTAAAACTATTGATTTTTTATTTGTTGATCAATACTTGTATTTTGTAATAATTTTTTTTTAAAAAATTATTTTTCTTAAAATTAATTAAATTCAATATTTGCAAATGTTGCAAATTTTTTTAAATGTTAAGTAATAATTGTAATATATATATATATCAAAATCCAAAATTATCAAATAATTTTTATTCATAAAAAATAATAGAGTTTTATTATAGTTTACTTATATTGTTGTTATTATTATTATTATTTAATAATAAACAGTAAAACTTAAAATTAGAAAATAATAAGATAATAAATGGGAAAAAATAAATACTATTTAGTAATCAATGAATTATTAAATTTTAATAAAAATTAATTAAAATAAAATTATTACTAAATACAAGTATTGATAAACAAATAAAAAATAATTTTAACTGATTTTATAAAAAAAAAATTTTAATAGTTTTTATTTTTCTATACTTTATAAATACTTTATAATCTATACTTATAATGATAATAATAATAATATATAGATATCATCTAAATTATCAAATAAAGTAAATAATAATTAATTAATTAAAGTTTTGATATTTTAACTGTAACTTAAATATTAATAATTTAATTTTTGTGTATTAATTTATTTACAGTATTTTATCAATGTTAATTAATAAAATTAATTATTTGTTATTAAATTTGCAAAAAAATAAATAATTACATTGTATTTGTATAAAATTAATAAAATCAATATATAGTAATTGTTATAATAAATATTGTATTTAATGTTAATTTTATTTTATATTATATAATATAACTACAGTATAAACTAGTGGTATAGCAATAGTGGTTTTAATTATTATAATAGAAATTTTTATTTTACTAGTATTACATTAATTTGATAATTATAATTATAACATTAATTTATATATTTAAACTATGCAACAATTGTTTGAATTAATTATTTAACAATTATAATTAATATACTTTTTTTAAAAAAATTACTAATAGAAATATTAAACTATAAATTTTATTTAATTTAATAATTTAAAAAAAATTATTTATACAAAAAATATAAAAAATAATATTAACTGTTAGTTGTTAACTCATTTTAATAAAAAAAATGTTTAATAAATAAATTGAATAATTAATTTTAAAAAATATTTTATAAAAAAATTTGCACCTAATTGTGTTGAAATGCTAGAAAAGTATTGATAAAAATGTAAATTTTAATTAAACGTTGACTAAAATTTTACGTAAACATGATAATGATTTTACATATTTTTATAGGTATTTTACGTATTAAATAATTTATTATATAATATACTTTACAGTAATAATAATATTAATAATTATATGACGAAAATCTTATAAACTTATATACATAACAATTAAATGTCAAAATTATAACATAAATTATTTGTAACATTAAAATACCGATTAAAATATTTATTATGTAAATCATCGGTCAATAATATCATCTAGTTAATTATTTTTAATGATAATTTTTATTATAATTACTTAAAAAATATCTAATTAATGTTAAATTAATTTTTATGTTAATATACTATAAGGATTTTTACAAAAATCTTTTAAATTATAATCTTTAAATAATTATTTGTAATATTAAAATACCGTTTTTATACATTATTTTAACAGATTTAAAAAAAATAAATTTGTAAAATAATTATTTCAAATTAATAACTGAAACTATTTTTTTGTTGAATAATATAATAAATACTTTCAATATTTTTTTCAACATTAAATAATTTGAATATTTTAATTAAAATATCATAAGTTTACTGTAATTAATTATTTTAGATGATATACATATTAATAGTTGATTTTTTAAAAAAATATAAAATATTAAAATATTAAAACTATTATTTTTTATTTGTTGATCAATAATTGTATTTTGTAATAATTTTTTTTAAAAATTTATTTTTCTTAAAATTAATTAAATTCAATGTTTACTGTACAGTTACAATAAATAGTTTTTAATTTTGTTTTTCATTAATTATCTTATTGTTTTCTAATTTTAAGTTTTACTGTTTAATAATGTTAAATAATAATATAAGAAAACTATAATAATTTCATAAAATTTTTTATGAATATAAATTATTTTTTTTAAAAAAGTATATTATAGTAATATTGTAGTTATAATAAATACTGTATTTTAAGTTTATATTATTTTAAATTATAATAATATAACCGTAAACTAGTGGTATAACAATAAGGTTTTAATTATTATAATGAAAATTTTGTTTTACTAGTATTTTATTAATTTTATAATTATAATTATAATATTAATTTATATATTTAAACTATGCAACAATTGTTTGAATTAATTATATAACAATTATAATTAATATGCTTTTTTAAAACTACTAATAAAACAATATTAAAGTATAATTTAATCTATTTAATTTAATAATTTTTAAATAATATTTATACAATAAATATTTAAAAAATGATGCTAATTTTGTTTGTTAACTAATTTTTTAATAAAAAAATAATACTAATAATACTAATACTAATAATAATAATAAATATATTGAATAATTAATTAAAAAAAATATTATTTAAAAAATTTACACCTAATTGTAATGAAAATGCTAGAAAAGTATTGATAAAAATGAAAATTTTAATTAAACGTTGACTAAAATTTTACGTAAACCTTAATAATGATTTTACATATTTGTAAAAAGTATTTTACGTATTAAATAATTTATTATCTAATATATTGTCTGTAATGTAATTATAATATTAACAATTTTATGACGACTATCTTTTTTAATGTTATAAAAAAAACAATTTAATGTCAAAATTATAACATAAATTATTTGTAATATTAAAATACTGATTAAAATATTTGATATGTAAATCATATTTTTGAGAAAAAATAAGTATATAAAGAGCATAAAAACAATTTTATATTAACATCATATATATATATATATATATATATATATATATAACTATTGTATACTAATATTTAGTTACAATATAACTATCAATTAGTTTTTTTTATATAAATTAGTTTAGTGTACAGTGAGTATTATTAGGTAATACTTAAAATAATAAATTAATTAAATTATTAGTAGTATTAATAATACTATAACTTTAAAAAATATATATTTAAAATAATTAATTAATAAATTAATTTTGTTAACTAGATCATTTACATAATGAAAAATCAACTAGCTAAACTGTTTCTATTGGCATTTATCATGCAGTTATCAATGACTACCACCACTACTAATGGTAACTATTATTATTATGAAATATAACTTTTTAATTATTTATTAATAATATATCTGTATATATATATACAATACATTAAACTTATTATATATATATCAATATTTAATAATTATTAACTAACTTTCCACAAAAAACCTACCTGTCCTCCAGCCATCAATTTGGTCCACTTTGATATCTATAAACTATTATGAAATATAACTTTTAATTATTTACCTGTATACATACATTAAACTTATTATATATATATATATATATAATAATTTTTTTACTAACTGTCCCATCAAACCTACCTGTCCTCCTAGCCGCCGATATTGTCCAGTTTGATCTCTATAAAATGTTGTCCAATCACGGCTTTCAATTCATTGACGATAAACTTAAGCCACAATTACAGTCACTATCGGATACGTTGAACAAGTTTTTCAAGGACGCAGCCGCCGACCCGCCATCGGACGTACCGTTTTTGATTGACAATGACTTCGGTCAATTGGCCGCAGCCTTATTATCGGCTATGACTGCCTACGGCAAAACAATGACCGACCCGTCGATGATCAACAAAGTCAATCAAGCGGCCGGACTGTTGAAACAGTTGGCCACTGATATTCATACGCAATTCGGTCCACTAGTTTCGGGTAAGACCCGACCGGGTAAATCTGTATACAATCCAGTGATTACCGATGCTTGTGTTGGTCTGGCCGGTACTATCGGCAAAATGTTTACACCGGAGGAAAGTGCTAAAAAATTTTTACCCGTAATTGTCGACTTTTATACTGATATTGGCCGAGCAGTGGATGAAGTATTTAGACAACAATTGCCTAAATTGAAGGGAACGGTAGACAGTGATGTCCTAAAGTTTGATCCAAATTGGGTTAATACTATGAAACAAATTGACAGTATATTCAAAGCTTAGTGTTTTTTTTTTGGTAATAATTTTATTTTTTTTAAGGATCCAGGGTAATCGTAATAATCATAATAATAATTTTAATAATCATAATAATAATACTAGTAATTTTTGTCTAATATATTGTACTACTTTAACACAACAACAACAACAACAACAAAAATCAGCTAGTTAATAATTAATTTTTTTATGATAATTTTTATAATAATTAATATAACAAAAATATTTTAAATTAATAAAATATATCAAAAATCAAAAATAAATATATTATATGGATTTTATATATAATTTTAAAATTACTAAAACTAAAAATACTTTTGTTAAAAATTATAAATATGTAAAATAATTATTTTAAATGAATCAATGAAACTAATATTTTTTTCAATAACTATAAATTAAAATTACATTTAAAACTGACTCAAAATTAATTATTAGTTACAGTTTATAAATAAACTTATATTTTTACATTACATTATTTATTATTATTATTATTATTTATTAAAAATTATTGTTTTATAATTTTCTCATTAAAACAAAAATATATGTTTTAATTAGTTGTAGTTTTGTAATTACAAACAAATTATTATTACAATTACTATTGCTATGAAATAAACAATAATTTGTATTTTCATAATTAAACAAAAATATATATACTATATATAATTTTAATTATTAATTTCAAATCAAATGTTAAAAATTCAATAATACAGTAATAATAATAATTATATCTAATGAATAAAATTTAACACAAAAAAAATTATGGAAAATTTGTGGCAGAAAAAAATTGATTAATTAAATTATTTTTGTAATTTTTTTTAGCACTCATTTGTGTTTATTTTTTTATTTTGTTTTTTTTCAAACGACCCGTTTTTCAACTCTAACCATCACTTGTTTGGGTGTTATAACTATCAAATTATCATAAAATTCAATGGATTTCTAAAAATTAGAATTAATAATAAAAAATTAATAATAATTAATAAAAAATTAATAATTAATAAAAAAAATAATAATTAATAAAAAATTAATAATTAATAAAAAAAATTAATAATTAATAAAAAAAATAATAATTAATAAAAAATTAATAATTAATAAAAAAATTAATAATTAATAAAAAAAATAATAATTAATAAAAAAATTAATAATTAATGAAAAAAATTAATAATAATTAATAAAACAAAAATTAATAATAACATAATACTAATAAAAATAAAAATTTTAAAAAATACTAATAAATTTTGTAAATAGTATTAATTTCTATTGTTATTATAATTATAAATTTGATGAAAATTATTTTTTTTAATAAAAAAATATCAACAACAAAAAAAACTACTATTAATATTATAGTAATTAATTTTATTACTATAGAAAGCTTATACAGTATATAGTATACCCCAGTATAGATGAACCGGTAGTTATGGACGGCATTGGCCAGTGCCAGTTTGGTTATCATATGAACCAATCGTATGCCCAGACAATTGCGAGGTCCGGCACCAAACGGCAGATAGACGTACGGGTCATGTTGGACATTATCGGCCAGAAATCGTTCGGGTAAATACTGATCCGGATCGGGAAAGTTGGCCTCGTCGTGTTGCATGGCATAGATAGGTATATGAATCAGTTGACCCTTACGTATTTGGATACTACCAGTGCCAGTGCTACCGCCGCCGCCGCCGCCGCCCAATGTATAGTCATCGCTAGCTTCGCGCTCGAGAAACGGTGCCGAAGGATATAGTCTCATAGTTTCCATAATAACTGCGTCCAAGTATTTCAGGGAATGTAGTATATCGTAGTCGTGGTCTGTCTGCCGGATGGATAGATAGATAGATATACAATATATATATATACCGATATATATATAGATATGCAGTATAAATATACGTCGATATAAATAATATACAGTATATATAGATATAGATATGCAGTATAAATATACATCGATATACATAATATACAGTAAATATAACATGAATACAGTATATATATATTGAATATTGATATACAGTATATATATATACGGGATATATATACCTATATATAATAGTATATATATATAGTATTATTATTTTAATACCTGTGCTGTTAGGAGGGTGGATAGGAGAGGGATCAGTATGTTTTTTGTCATTAATACATTGTATCTCCGATGCTTATGTAGTTTACTTTATTATACTGTATTATATTTGTGTAATTAAACAAAAAAAACTGTTTACCTCTTTGTTATGTTTGAAATAATTGTCGATTTCATTGTATAGTTTTTCCTGGACTACGGGATTCTTGGCCAACAAATAGGTAGTTATCGACAATACTGTAGCCGTAGTCTCATAGCCGGCAATAAACAAGAATACCGACTGAGCTATTAGTTCATCATTTGATAGACCTATTGATATATTATTTTTATTATTAAAAATTAAAAATTTTAAAAAAAATTCATACTTTTGTCCAAAGGGTTCATCGATTTGGACGATAACTCATTATAGCCATCAGTAATGTCTTCATCGGTGGTAATAATATCATCGGTTGTCTTAGTATTGGACATCGTGTCTAACATTAGCTGCAAAAAGTCGACCCGTTTTTGTTGTCGACTCATATTATTATTGTCGTTGTCGATGTCGTCGTCGACGGTCTTCAATGATCTTCAATGTAAAGTCATGGAAAAATTTCGTAACTTTTTCATCAAAAACTTTCAATTTCAACCACTTGGCCGCCGCGGGAGCCATAAATAAGGTCAACATTCTGAGATTGAGGTCACGGGAGAAAAATTTCTGTACATTTCGGATGATTGGGTTATACCTATCGAACAGGGCATCAACTTTGACACCGAAACTAATCTGAATTATGACTTCCATACTGTAGGCGCCGAACAATAGTTTCATATCCGACTCGTCCTCCTGTAGTCCCAGTGGTGACGACCCGTAGTATTGGCTGCTGAGGACACTCTACGGAGATTGTTGTCCATTGTTTCCACGCATTCATCGATCAATGGTATCATTAGTTTCAGTTTTCTTGTGGTAAATGTCGGCGACATCAGTGATCGGACAGATAGAGTACCGGACGGTTCAGATCATAGATACCGAAACATTTGCCGTACCGACGGTACAGATCCTGTTCCCATTTGTGTCCCGGTTTTGTTAGCCGAGTCCATAGGCCTACCGATGCTGTCTGGACGCCCTGTTTCTCCCAATAATTACATTTTGATAAATAATATCTTTTTTTTAAAAAAAGAAAAGATATTAAGAAACAAAAATTTAATAAATAATTTTAATTAAATTAAATTTATTAATTTAATATTAAATACTAGCTTTTATTTAAACCTATATTTAAATAACTGTTATAATAATACTAATACTAATAAATTATTAATAATTAAATCACTAAAAAAAATTATAATTAAATTTTTGTTAATTTTAAATAATAATAATAATAATAATAATAATAATAAAGTATTTTACTAATCTATTTATTTATAAACTTTAACTAAATAATTAGTTAATTAATTAAAAATCCCTCCCCCTCAAAAAAAATGATATAATTATTGTTATACTTTTTGAATAAATATTAAAAATTTAATTTTAATAAATTTAATAAGTTTTATTAACAGTAAATATTGATATAAGTTATATATATATATATATATCGTATATAGTATTTAAACTAAGATAAACTATTTTTAAATTACTTTTAAATAATTTTTATAATTACCTATAAATTGTATACAAAATTAATAATAAAATAGTAGTCAATTTAATCAGTATATGAGATACTAATGAATATAATAATTGTAACATTTTTGTTGGGATTTACAAAAAAATAAAATTTTATTTATTATATAAAAATTATTACTATTTTTAAACAAAATTGTTTTATTAAAGATTTAATAATAATTATAATTATTATTAATTTTTATCTGACAATCATTTTTTTGCGACAATTTTTATACTATTATAATGTAAAAAAGTTTTTTGTTTTAAAAAATAATATTACACTAAATAATACTTTTTTTATGATTATGATTATTATTATTATTATTAATTTATGATTTCCATATATTTATTGGTATTTTAATGTTACAAATAATTTATGCTATAATTTAGACATTAATTTTTTTTCTCTCTAAATATTATCGGCATATTATTTATTATTATTAGTAGTATTAGTAGTAGTATTTTAGATATAAAAAAATATAATTATTAATACAATAAATACTATTTTTTTAAAAATATGTAAAATCATTATCATGTTTACGTAGATTTAGTTTTTATTTTTTTTAATTTATTTATTTATTCAATCACTACTTTGAAAACATTTCCAATACAATTAGGTGCAAATATTTTATAATTATATATATATATAAATATTATAATTATTTATACAACAATATTATTATTGTAATTTAGAAATTAACATTACTTATCAATATACATATATATTGTATAAATTTTTATCTAAAAAAATTAATTAATTAAATAGTATATATAGTTTAATTTTCAAATATAGTTTAAAACAATTAATGTCTAAATTATAATATAAATTATTTGTAATATTAAAATACTGATGAAATAAATATTTTATTGTTAAACAAATTAAATATATCTCTAAATATATATATAAATATATATAATATCACATAACTATTGTAACTAATAACATTTAATTTTATAATAACTAGTACTGTAATATATTTAATATTATTTTTAATTAATAGTTAACTTGATCATTTTACTATTATTATAATAAATACTAATAGTATGTAAATGACTGTCCATTTTAATGTAAATTAAATGTATTTTATTACAGTATTATTAATATTATTATGTTATTTATTACACATTTATTCAAATATATTTATTTAATGCATATTTTTTTTTTAAAAAATAACAATATAGTATATAAATTATTAATAACTAGTTTATATATATATTTTTGAATAATAAATAATTTTTTTTAAAAAAAACGTAAATGAAAAAAAAATATAAAAGTTTTTTAAATTTCTAAAATTTTTAATTTTAGCATTGATATAATTATATTAGTAACTATAGTTTGATATAATTATTTATAGATTTCTCATTTAATTTAAGTAACTATTATTAATAAAATAAATTAAGACATCAAAAAACATTTGGTGTTATATTGTTTAATATATATGGATATAAACTTTCTTTAAGGATTAAAAATTAAATGTTATATTTATATGAAAAGTTATATCCATTTCCCTAAACTGGTATTTGATTGACTGTTTGTTTGGTGTTTGCTTTGAATGTTTAGATATAAAAGACAAAACATATTATTATATGTATAAATATATATATACTGTAAGTGATAACAATTATTGTGTACAACAATACATATTCAACAATACATTTGAATATGAATTTAAATCAAATAAATAAAATTATTTAAAAAATGATTAACAAATAATTAACAAACATAAACTTAATAATAATAAATTGTGTCAAACTGTGTTTGACTCAAACATATCTATTGAAACTTTTTTTTTTTTTTTGTATAATAATATTTAATAACAGTTAATGATATATAAATATTTATATGAAAAGGTATATCCAATTTCCTAAACAGGTATTTGACTGACTGTTTGTTTTGGTGTGTGCTCTGAATAAGTGATATATAAGACAAAACACATTATATGTTGAAAGTTATCGCCATTTTTGTTCAATTATTGTGAAGACATTCAACAAAACACATTTGAATATGAATTTAAATCAATTAATTCAATTGTGTGAAACATATGAATTGATTAATTGTGGTGAAAATAAATTGAATTTATTAGCGAAATGTAATTCATTGAAAATTTGTGATTATTTTAGCAACGATTGTGACCTCAATTATGTCATCGACGACAACAACACGCAATTCAAGTGCTTTTGGCCTAAATGTCGGTTTAAAACAACAACTGATACTAAATTACAAAGACATCAATTAAGTCATTCAAATCATAAGCAATTCAAATGTGATTTTAATGATGATTGCAATCAAACATTTGTTAATAAAGATGGTCTTAAATGGCATAAAAATACCAAACATTTAAATATTAAATATTTTTGCAATTATACTAATTGTAATAAAATTTACTTTAATAGATCCGGATTAATTAATCATAAAAATGCCAAACATTTTAATAAACAATTTATTTGTGATATCAATGATTGCAACAAAAAATATACTCAAAAATCAGTTTTAAAATTACATATAATGAATGTTCATCTAAATTGTAAGCGATTTAAATGTAATGTCGATTATTGTAATAAAACATTTTCGACAAAAATTAAATTATATTTACATAAAAAACGACATTTAAATGAAAATCGATTCAAGTGTTCAGTAAAAAAGTGTTTGAAAACATTTACAACATATCATTGTTTACGACAACACCTATCAATAGATCATTCAATTGAACCCGAATTCAAATGTGATTATAATGATTGCGGCAAAACATTTGCCTCATTAGGTAATTTGCGACGACATAAACATTTGGGTATTAATACAAAAATTAATAAAAATAAATAAATGTGAAGTTTAAATGATTGCGTCAAAACATTTTCAATGTAAATGAAATTTTTTGTAAAAGACATCAAATGACTGTAAATCTATTGAAATGTTTTTAAAAAAAAAAAATTATAATTAAAAAAAATATATTAATTACATTCACTTTTATTGTAAATATAACTATTTTCTTAATTATTAAAATAAATTATTTTACGAAATATTAAATATTAAACTTTTAATTAAATTTTATTATTATATTAATAAATAAAATTTTTACTAGTACTCAAATATTGCAATAAACTATATTGTAAATTTATTATAAAACATTTTAAATTTTTTACTAAAATATTGTTACGGTAATTATTAATATTATAAAACATATTAATAATATTATAAGTTAATTAATTATAATTAAATAAATTTTAATGATACTGATTGATCATCTCTAGCACTGCAATCATAATCACTGTAATAGCTATAGAAAAAAAATCATATTTTTAACACCACTTTATTAGTTATAACAGTTTAATAATATTTATCATAATTTTATCATAAATATTTTTTAAAAAAAAACTTTAACTAATTATTGTTATTATTATTACTACTACTACTTATAAGTGCAACATATATATATAATTAAACAATGATATTATTATATTAGTAAATAAATTATAATTAATGATAGATTTATCATTATTTTATTTAAATTCAATATTATAATTTATATTTATAATTTATAAACAATTAAAATAACTATTATTAGATAAACATAAAAAATACAAAATATTTTGTATATTTACCTAAACAGGTTTAAGGATTTATATTATAAAGTTATTGATATATTTATATGAAAAGGTATATCCATTTCCCTAAACAGGTATATATTTGACTGACTGTTTGATATGTGATATATGTTTGGTATCATATAAAAGACAAAACACACACATTATATGTGCGATGATAGTGATCGCCATTTTTATTTATCTAAATTATTGAGAAGACATTCAAACAACAAACACATTTGAATATGAATTTAAATCAATTAATTCAATTGAAATCATTAGCAAATAGTTTGCAACAAATTAATAATAAATTATGTGAAACATATGAATTGATTAATTGTGATAAAAATAAATTGAATTTATTAGATAATTGTAATTCATTGAAAATTACTGATTATATTATCAACGATTGTGACCACAATTATGACAATTACAACACACGTGTGGATAACAACACGCAATACAAGTGCTTTTGGCCTAAATGTCGGTTTAAAACAAAAAATGATAATAAATTACAAAGACATCGATTAAGTCATTCAAATTATATGAAATTCAAATGTGATTTTAATGATTGCAATCAAACATTTGTTAGTGAATACGGTCTTCGATCGCATAAAAATACTAAACATTTAAATATTAACTATATTTGTAATTATAGTAATTGTAATAAAATATTTTTAAGTAAAATCGGTTTACAACATCATAAATATGCTAAACATTCAAATATACGATATATTTGTGATATCAATGATTGCGGCAAAATGTTTTCACATAAATCATCATTGAAAATGCATAAAATGGTTGTTCATCTAAAATGCAAACCATTTAAATGTAATGCCGATTATTGCGATAAAACATTTTCAACGAAACATCTATTATATTGTCATAAAAAACAACATATAAGTCAAAAGCGATACAAATGTTTAGTTAGCGATTGTTTGAAAACATTTACAACAAATCATTGTTTACGACAACACAAATCATGGGATCATTCAATTGAACCAAAATTCAAATGTGATTATAAAGATTGTGGCAAAACATTTAGTATTTCCGCACATTTAAAACAACACCGAAATATTATACATTTGCTTTAAGCAAATTCAAATGTAATGTCAATAATTGTGGCTTTTTTAAATAAATCAATGTATAAAACATCAATTGACTTTACATATATAGTTAATGCCTATTATATGATATGATATATTAAAATTAATTTTAAATAATTACAATTATTATTATTCGTATTTAATTCAAATATTGTATAAAAATAATTTTACCTTTACTTATAGTAATTATATTAAATATTTTATTTATTTATTTTTATATCAATCATTATATTATGATATTTTAATATCAATTTTAATTAAACATATATACAATTATTAAACAATTATTTCTTAAAATATCAATTCATTGATAACATACTATTGGACTGTTTGTAGAGATGGGCAAATAGAAAGTTTCTAGAAAATTTCTCAGGAATAAATTTCTATAGAAATTTAACTTTATTGTTATACTATGGGATCCCCATATCTAGTTATTGTAATATTATAGATAAAATATTATACTATAGAGTTAATTATACTTTACAGTACTATACAAATGTGATAACTATATATAAAATAATTATAATTATTTAATAATAATTAATTTTGTAAAATTGTATTCATCATTTTATTATATATATATATCATACTGTAGTTTAATTAATTAATTTCTTACATTAATTAATAATTAAAATAATAATAATAATATTTACGGTAATGTATTATTATATGATAGCAATATCGAGATAACAAAATTAAAATGGGGATCACATAGATAGAAATTTCTTTTAGAAACTTTCTAGAAATTTCTTTTAGAAACTTTCTAGAAATTTCTCTATTATTTTATAAATTTCTCTTTTTTGCCAACACTTACTGTTTGTTGAGTTGACCCGTGAACTCATACCTATACCCGGACTGATCCGACATTACTATATTACCGTCTCATTGCTGTATAAATATGACGTCAATTGTTACTCTAGTTTTACCCGATATTGTTGTCTATAAAAATAATACATTATTAAAACTAACTATAAAACTAATAAAACAAATTAAATAAATAAAAATAATTATAGTAATATTATAATTTTCAAATAATAATTAATTATTACTACAAGTAATATAGATTTTATCATAATATTGATACTAAATGTAACAAATAATAAGTTCAATATTGACTAAAACTTATTAGTTTTACATTTCACATTATTTTTTTTAATTAAAATAATCATACAAATAATTAATATATTTTAATATACTAATACAGTGAATAGTTATTTATTGATAAATTAAAACAAACAAAAAAAATATTTTAACTATAATATACTGTAAACAAGTTTAAGGACTAATGAAAAATCATTTTATATGAAAAGGTATATCCATTTCCCTAAAAACATGTATTTGACTGACTGTTTGTTTGGTGTGTGCTTTGAATGTGTGATATAAAAGACAACATACACTATATGTGCGATGAAAGTGATCGCCATTTTTTCAAGTAATTATTGTTAAGACATTCAAACATAAGAAATTTGAATATGAATTTAAATCAATTAATTCAATTGAAATCATTAGCAAATAGTTTGCAACAAATTAGTGATAAATTGTGTGAAACATATGAATTGATTAATTGTGGTGAAAATAAATTGAATTTATTAGCGAATTGTAATTCATTGAAAATTACTGATTATATTATCAACGATTGTGACCACAATTATAACAATAACAACACACGTGTGGATAACAACAGGCAATACAAGTGCTTTTGGCCTAAATGTCGGTTTAAAACAAAAATTGAACACAATTTACAAATACATAAATTAATTCATTCAAATTATAAACCATTCAAATGTAATTTTAATGATTGCAATCAAACATTTATTAATCAAAATGTGCTTCAGTTGCATAAAAATACCAAACATTTAAATATTAAATATTTTTGCAATTATACTAATTGTAATAAAACTTTCTTTAGTAAATCCGGATTAATTAATCACAGAAATATCAAACATTTTAATAAACAATATATTTGTAATATCAATGATTGCGGAAAAAAATATTGTCTTAAATCATTTTTAAAATTTCATGTAATGACTGTTCATCTAAATTATAAGCGATTTAAATGTAATGTCGATTATTGTAATAAAACATTTTCGACAAATCGTGATTTAGATTCACATAAAAAACAACATTTAAATGAAAAACGATTCATATGTTCAGTCAAAGAGTGTTTGAAAACATTTACAACAAATCATTGTTTAAGACAACACCAGTCATGCGATCATTCAATTGAACCAAAATTCAAATGTGATTATAAAGATTGCGGCAAAACATTTGGTGTTTCCGCACATTTAAAACGACACCGAAGTACTGTTCATTTGGATATTGGTTTCAAATAAAATTCAAAATTTAATCTAAACAATTGTGGCAAAACTAAAAAAAATTAATGTTAAATAAACATCAATTGACTTTACAATATATAATTAATACCTATTGATGATATTATATTAAAATAAATAAAAATAAAATCTTTATTTATATAAATTGTATACTATATTTTTTTACTTAATTTTTTATGTATCATTATATTCTCAATTTTAAGTAAATAAATATACAAAAATTATACAATTATTTTTTTTAAAATATCAATTCATTGATAACATACTATCGCACTGTTTGTTGAGCTAACCCGTGAACTCATACCTATACCTGACTGACCCGACATTACTGTGAACCCGAAAAAACAGCATAAAATTAAAATTAGTAAATAAATTATAATTAGTGATAGATTTATCATAATTAAATTTAAACTTAATATACAGTATGTTTAACTATAAACAATAATTATTATAATAGATATCTAAAATTTTAGATTAAAAAAAACAATAAAACATTTGTATAATGCTTTTAAACAGGTTTTAAGGATTAATATTATAAAGTTATTGATATATTTATATGAAAAAGTATACCCTTTTCCTTAAACAGGTATTTGACTGACTGTTTGTTTGGTGTGTGCTTTGAATAAATGATATAAAATACAAAACACATTATATGTTGAAAGTTATCGCCATTTTTGTTCAATTATTGTGAAGATTTTCAACAACACAATGAATATGAATTTAAATCAATTAATTCAATTGAAATCATTAGCAAATAGTTTGCAACAAATTAATAATAAATTGTGTGAAACATATGAATTGATTAATTGTGGTGAAAATAAATTGAATTTATTAGATAATTGTAATTCATTGAAAATTACTGATTATATGGACAACGATTGTGACCACAATTATGTCAACGATAACAACAACACACGTGTGGATAACAACACACAATATAAGTGCTTTTGGCCTAAATGTCGGTTTAAAACAAAAATTCATTATATATTAAAAACACATCAATTAAGTCATTCAAATTATAAACAATTTAAATGTGATTTTAATGATGATTGCAATCAAACATTTGTTAATAAAAGCAGTCTTCAATTGCATAAAAATGCCAAACATTTAAATATTCACTATATTTGTAATTATATTAATTGTAATAAAATTTTCTTTAGTAAATCCGGATTATTTAATCATAGAAATGCCAAACATTTTAATAAACAATTTATTTGTGATATCAATGATTGCGGCAAAAAATATATACAAAAAGCATTTTTAAAATTACATATAATGAATGTTCATCTAAAATATAAGCGATTTAAATGTAATGACAAGTATTGTAATAAAACATTTGCAACAAAACGTGAATTAGATTTACATAAAAAACAACATTTAATTGAAAAACGATTCAAGTGTTCAGTAAAAAATTGTTTGAAAATATTTACAACATATCATTGTTTACGACAACACCTATCATTGGATCATTCAATTGAACCCGAATTCAAATGTGATTATAATAATTGTGACGACAAAACATTTGCCACTTTAGCTAATTTGCGACGACATAAACGTGTTGTACATTTGGGTATTAATGGAAAAATTGATTTAAAAAAAATAATTTAATTTAAAAAAAATATAACTAATTATTGTTATTACTACTCAGTTAAATACAGTTTTATATTATTGAAATCAAATGTACTAATAATTAGTTCAATATTTTTTACATATTTTAAAAAATTACCATAAAATAATAAATATAATTTAAAAAATTAAAAGTACAACATATATAATCAAAAGCAATGATATTATTAAATCATTAATTAAATTATAATTAATAATAGATTTATTATAATTTTATTTAAAGTCAATATTATCAATGTTTAATTATAAACAATTATAATAGATATTATTAGATAAGCGAAAAAACATCAAAATATTTTGTATATTGATATAAACAGGTTTAAGGATTAATATTATAAAGTTATTGATATATTTATATGAAAATGTATATCCATTTTCCTAAACAGGTATTTGACTGACTGTTTGTTTGGTGTGTGCTTTGAAAAAAGTGATATAAAAGTTATCGCCATTTTTTCAAGTAATTATTGAAAAGATATTCAACTAAAAACATTTGAATATGAATTTAAATCAATTAATTCAATTGAAATCATTAGCAAATAGTTTGCAACAAATTAATACAAAATTATTTGAAACATATGAATTGATTAATTTCGGTGAAAATAAATTGAATTTATTAGATAATTGTAATTCATTGAAAATTACTGATTATATTATCAACGATTGTGACCTCAATTATGACAATACCGATACCATTCATGTGAATAATAACAAGCAATTCAAGTGTTTTTGGCCCAAATGTCTGTATAAAGCTATTAACGAAAGTCACTTACATTTACATCAATCAAGTCATTCAAATTACAAACAATTTAAATGTGATTTTAATTATTGCAATCAAACATTTAAGTTTGAAACTGGACTTCAATCACATAAAAATGCTAAACATTTTAATAGTAATATGAAATTTATTTGTAATTTCAATAAATGTTATAAAATATTTTTTAATAAAATCAGTTTACAACAGCATAAATATGCTAAACATTCAAATAAACGATATATTTGTAATATCAACGATTGCGGCAAAAAGTTTACACATAAATCAAAATTTAAAAAACATAAAATGATTGTTCATCTAAAATACAAACCATTCAAATGTAATGTCGATTATTGCGATAAAACATTTCCAACAAAATATGAATTAAATTGTCATAAAAAACAACATATAAGTGAAAAGCGATACAAATGTTTAGTTAAAGATTGTTTGAAAACATTTACAACTAATCATTGTTTACGTCGACACCAATCATTGGATCATTCAATTGAACCCGAATTCAAATGTGATTATAAAGATTGTGGCAAAACATTTGGTTTTTTAGCACATTTAAAACAACACCGAAGTACTATCCATTTGTTTTTAAAAAAAAATTAAATGTAATGTCAATAAATGTTAATAAACTAATGTTAAATAAATATCAATTAAATTTATATCTAATAGTTATTACCTATTGATGGTATGATATTAAAATAAATTTTTCTAATAATTACAATAATTATTATTGTTCGTATTTAATTGAAAATTTTGTAAAAATAAAAAATAAAATAATTTGAATTATATTAATTGTATATTATATTTATTTAATTAATTTTTTATGTATATTATGTAATTTTAATTAAAAACATATACAAAAATTATACAATTATTTTTTTTTAAATATCAATTCATTGATAACAAACTATCGCACTGTTTGTTGAGCTGACCCGTTAACTCATACCTATACCCGACTGATCCGACATTACTATATAACCGTCTCATTGCTGTATAAATGTTATGTCAATTGTTTTACCCGAGTTTTACCCGATATTGTTGTCTAAAAAAAAGTAATACATTATTTATACTAAATATTACTATACTAATAAAACATACTAAATAAATAATAATTTTAATTACAGTAAATTATGTAATTACAGTAAGCATTATAATTTTTACTAATAATAAATTACTACTACAGGTACTATAGATTTTTAACATATTATTGACACTAAATATAAAAAATAATAAGTTCAATATTGATTAATACTAATTATATTTAATTTTTTTTATATATTTAATTTTTCTTTTAAAATAATCATACAAATAATTAATATATATTTTTAATACATGTTTAAGGGAAATGGATATACCTTTTCATATAAGTATATCTTATTATTAATCCTTAAACCTGTTTATAGTATTATACTCTATATAATTTATACAAATTTATTTTTTTTTTAAATATTTTAATTTGTCTAAAAATATCTATTAATTATCCATTTCCCTAAACAGGTATTTGACTGTCTGTTTGTTTGGTGTGTGCTTTGAATAAATGATAATTAAAAGACAAAACACATTATATGTTCAATGAAAGTGATCGCCATTTTTTCATCGAAATTATTGAAGACATTCAAACAACAAACACATTTTGAATATGAATTTAAATCAATTAATTCAATTGAAATCATTAGCAAATAGTTTACAACAAATTAGTGATAAATTGCGTGAAACATGTGAATTGATTAATTGTGATGAAAATAACTTAAAAAATTTATTAGATAATTGTAATTCATTGAAAATTACTGATTATATTATCAACGATTTTGACCACAATTATGACAATAACAACACACGTGTGGATAACAACACGCAATACAAGTGCTTTTGGCCTAAATGTCGGTTTAAAACAAAACTTAAATCTAATTTAAAAAGACATCAATTAAGTCATTCAAATCATAAGCAATTCAAATGTGATTTTAATGATGATTGCAATCAAACATTTTTTAATCATCAAAGTCTTCAATTGCATAAAAATACTAAACATTTAAATATTAAATATATTTGCAATTATACTAATTGTAATAAAATTTTCTTTAGTAAATGCGGATTAAATGATCACATAAATGCCAAACATTTTTATAAAAAATATGTTTGTTATATCAATGATTGTGGCAAAAAATATTGTCGTAAATCATTATTAAAGTTACATATAATGAATTGTCATCTAAAATATATGCCATTCAAATGTATTGTCGAGTATTGTAATAAAACATTTGCAACAAAACATGAATTAGATTCACATAAAAAACAACATTTAATTGAAAAGCGATTCAATTGTTCAGTAAAAGAGTGTTTGAAAACATTTACAACAAATCATTGTTTACGACAACACCAGTCATGCGATCATTCAATTGAACCCGAATTCAAATGTGATTATAAAGATTGCGGCAAAACATTTGGTGTTTCCGCACATTTAAAACGACACCGAAATACTGTCCATTTGGATATTGTTTTCAAATAAAATTCAAATGTAATGTCAATAATTAAGTGAAAACTTTTTTATTAAATAAATAAATTAATGTTAAATAAACATCAATTTACTTTATATCTATAGTTAATACCTATTGATAAAATGATATTAAAATAAATTTTTCAAATATTTACAATTATTATTGTATTTAATTCATTGTTTTGTAAATAATAAATAAATATTCAATATATATATTAATAGTATATTATATTTATTTAGTTAATTTTTTTATTATATATCATTATATGTATCAATATTGATTAATACTAATTATATTTAAATTATTTTTTACATATTTTATTTTTCATTTTAAAATAATCATACAAATAATTAATATATTTTAATATACATATACAGTGTATAGTTATTAATTGATAAATTGAAACACAAAAAAAAATATTTTAACTGTAATAAACTGTAAACTATAATAGTTTAAGGATTAATGATAAATCATTTTACATGAAAAGGTATATCCATTTTCCTAAAAAAACATTTAACTATTAACTAGATTTTTATAAATATTTTTAATATATATCTTTTAATAGAATATTTTATTTTCTAACATTTTAAATTATTACATAATAATAATAAAATATTGTTATGGTAATTTTTAATATTATAAAACATTTTAAATAATATAAATTAGTTATAATAATAATAATAATTAATTAATAAGTGTTTGAAAATAGATTTTATCGATTCTATAGTTTATTTTTTATTATATTAGACAATATTTTGTTGTTGTATTTCAATTCAACCAATGGGTATAAAAACTTGTACAAAATTATATACACAATAATACTATAAACAGGTTAATAGGATTAATAATTAAGTTATATTTATATGAAAATGTATATCCATTTCCTTTAAAAACAGGTATTTGACTGACTGTTTGTTTGATGTGTTCTTTGAATGTTTGGATATAAAAGACAAAACAAATTACTATATGTGCGATGAAAGTGATCGCCATTTATTGTTATTGTTTTTTATTAAATTATTATTATGTTATATATTAAATTAAATTATTGTTAAGACATTCAAACATAAGAAATTTGAATATGAATTTAAATCAATTAATTCAAATGAAATCATTAGCAAATAGTTTACAACAAATTAGTAATAAATTGTGTGAAACATATGAATTGATTAATTGTGGTGAAAATAAATTGAATTTATTAGCGAATTGTAATTCATTGAAAATTACTGATTATATGATCAACGATTGTGACCACAATTATGACAATAACAACACACGTGTGGATAACAACAGGCAATACAAGTGCTTTTGGCCTAAATGTCGGTTTAAAACAAAACTTAAATCTAATTTACAAAGACATCAATTAAGTCATTCAAATTATAAGCGATTCAAATGTGATTTTAATGATGATTGCAATCAAACATTTGTTAGTCAACAGAGTCTTCAATTGCATAATAATATTAAACATTTAAATATTCACTTTATTTGCAATTATGATAATTGTAATAAAATTTTCTTTACTAAATCCGTATTATATCGTCATAAAAATGACAAACATTTAAATATACGATACATTTGTGATGTGAATAATTGTGGGAAAAAATTTTCTAGAAATGAATGTTTAAAAAATCATAAAATAACTGCTCATCTAAAACATAAACCATTCAAATGTAATACCGATTATTGCGATAAAACATTTGCAACAAAATATGAATTAAATTGTCATAAAAGAGTACATATAAGGGAAAAGCGATACAAATGTTTAGTTAAGGATTGTTTGAAAACATTTACAACAAATCATTGTTTACGACAACACCAGTCATGGGATCATTCAATTCAACCTAAATTCAAATGTGATTATAAAGATTGCGGCAAAACATTTGGTGTTTCCAAACATTTAAAACAACACCGAAGTATTGTTCATTTGATTTAAACAAATTCAAATGTAATGTCAATAATTGTGGCAAAACTTTTTTTTTTATATAAATTAATGATAATAAATACCAATTGATCTATAGTTAATGCCTATTGATGATATGATATTAAAATAAATTTTTCAATTAATTATTATTATTATTCGTATTAAATTAAAATTTTGTAAAAATAAAGTTTTTTATCTTTACTTATATTATTAATTGTATATTATATTTATTTAGTTAATTTTTTCATATGTATCATTATATTATAATATTTTAATTATTAATTTTTATTATTTGTATTTATTTCAAATTTTGTAAAAATAAAATAAGATTTTAATTGTATATTATATTAATTTACATAATTTTTGTTATATATTACGTTATATATTATCAATTTTCACACATCAATCTACAAATAAACAAAAATTAAACTATTATTTATTAAAATATCAATTCATTGATAACATACTATCGCAGTGTTTGTTGAGCTGATCCGTGAACTCATACCTATACCTGACTGACCCGACATTACTGTTAACCGTCTCATTGCTGGATAAATGATTAATCAATTGTTACCCGATATTGTTGTCTATAAAAATAATAAATTATTATAACTATATACTAATATAACTATATTAATAAAACATACTAAACAAATAATTAGTTTTTAGTTATAATTAATTATTACTACAGATAATATAGATTTTATCATAATTGATAATTAAAAAAAAAAAATTATTATTCATTTAAAAATAATCATACAAATAATACTAATATATTCCATATAATATATATATATATATAGTGTATAGTTATTAATTGATAAATTGAAACACAAAAAAAATATTTTAAACTGTTATACACTGTAAACAAGTTTAATGATTAATGAAAAATTTATTATTATAATTGAAATTTTTATATGATTTTATATGAAAAGGTATATCCATTTCCCTAAACAGGTTTTTGACTGACTGTTTGTTTGGTGTGTGCTTTGAATGTGTGATATAAAAGATAAAACACATTATTTTATTTGCGATGAAAGTGATCGCCATTTTTTTATCTAAATATTTAAGTCATTCAAACATAAGATATTTGAATATGAATTTAAATCAATTAATTCAATTGAAATCTTTAGCAAATAGTTTGAAACAAATTAGTGATAAATTGTGTAAAACATATGAATTGATTTATTGTGATGAAAATAAATTGAATTTATTAGATAATTGTAAATCATTGAAAATTACTGATTATATTATCAACGATTGTGACCACAATTATGACAATAACAATAACAACACACGTGTGGATAACAACAGGCAATACAAGTGCTTTTGGCCTAAATGTCGGTTTAAAGCAAAACTTAAACCTAATTTACAAAGACATCAATCAAGTCATTCAAATTATAAGCGATTCAAATGTGATTTTAATGATTGCAATCAAACATTTGTTAGTCAACAGAGTCTTCAATTGCATAATAATATTAAACATTTAAATATTCACTTTATTTGCAATTATGATAATTGTAATAAAATTTTCTTTAGTAAATCCGTATTATATTGTCATAAAAATGACAAACATTTAAATATACGATACATTTGTAATATCAATAATTGCGGCAAAAAATTTTCTCGAAATGAATGTTTAAAAAATCATAAAATAACTGCTCATCTAAAATATAAACCATTCAAATGTAATGTCGATTATTGTGATAAAACATTTGCAACAAAACGTCAATTAAATTGTCATAAAAAACAACATATAAGTGAAAATCGATACAAATGTTTAGTTAGTGATTGTTTGAAAACATTTACAACAAATCATTGTTTACGACAACACCAGTCATGGGATCATTCAATTGAACCAAAATTCAAATGTGATTATAAAGATTGTGGCAAAACATTTGCCAATTTACGTAATTTGCGACGACATAAACTTGTTGTACATTTTGATTATAAAAGCAAAAATTAATAATAATAATAATAATAATAATAATTAAATGTGAAGTCAATGATTGCGGCAAAACATTTCAATTTAAAGAAAATTAAAAAAAAAAATTTCAAATAGTTGTACGTAAAGTTGTAAATAAATTTATTTTCATAATTAAAAAAATTACTTAAAAACATTAATTAATTTCACTTTTATTGTAAATATAATTATTTGAAAGTTAAATTATAAACATTTTCAATATAAATGAAATTTTTAAAAATGACATCAACTGGCTGTACAACTATTGTTTTAAAAAATTAATACAAAATTTAATAAAAAAAATAATAATAATAAATAAATAAATTTTAAGTTAAATGATTGCGTCAAAACATTTTCAATATATACAGAAATATTGTTAATTTAGATATTGTTTTCAAATAATATTCAAATGTAATGTCAATAATTGTGGAAATTTTTTTTAATAATTATTTTTGAATAAATTAATGCTAAATAAATATCAATTATCTTCACATCTATACTATAGATTCTATAGTTAATACTTATTATACTATATGATATTAAAATAAATTTTATAAAATAATTACAATTATTATTATTATTGTATTTAATTCAAATTTTGTAAAAAAAAATTTGAAAAATAAATTTTATCTATACTTATATTAATTATATGTATTAATTATATTATGATTTTTTAATATCAATTTTAATTAAACAATTATTATTCAATTATTTTTTTTTAAATATCAGTTCATTGATAACATACTATCGCACTGTTTGTTGAGCTGACCCGTGAACTCATACCTATACCCGACCCGACATTACTGGATAAATGTTACGTCAATTGTTATCCGAGTTTTACCCGATATTGTTGTCTATAATAATAATAAGTTATTAATACTAACTAATTAATAACTATACTAATAAAACATACTAAATAAATAATAATTATAATTTACAGTAAATTTTATAATTTATTAATTACTTTAACTACAGTTAATATAGATTTTATCATATTATTGATACTAAATGTATTTTATTTATCAATTAAAAATAATCATACAAATAATTAATATATAGTTAATATACAGTTTGTATAGTTATTAATTTGATTAAATTGAAACACAAATAAAAAATATTTTAAACTGTTATATACTGTAAACAAGTTTAAGGATTAATGAAAAATCATTTTATATGAAAAGGTATATCCATTTCCTTTTAAATAAAAACATTTAACTATTAACTAGATTTTTATAAATATTTTTTTTAATATATATATATCTTTTAATACACAAATATTATTATAAGCTATATCTCATTTTTTAACATTTTAAATTGTTACATAAAAATAATTAAAATAAAAAAATATTATTATGGTTTTTATTTAAATTAATTTAAAATTAATAGTATTTATTATTCATAACATAATTTGTATTTTTCATAGATACTAATTATTATAAATATTTTTCTAATTATTAATAATTATAAATATTTTTCCTAATTATTACTAATTTTAGTTTTTATTATTCATAACATATTTTTATATTATTTTTATAGATACTAATTATCATTTATAAATATTTTGCTACTATATTCAATATAATGGGGAAAATTACTTTTAGAAATGTATTTAAATGTAATGTCAATTATTATGTCTTAAAAACATTTGTACATCAAATCACAAATAAAAAATCACATCAAATGTTTTGTACATAAATATAAAAAATAAAATATCAATTAATAATCATTTGGTGTAAACATTTAGTTAACAAAAGCAAAAATAATTTTTAAAAAAATTATTTTAATAGTAATTAAATTATTTTAATAGTAATTAAATTATTTTAATAGTAATTAAATTATTTTATATTTTAAATTATTATTTATTACTACTATTTAATTAAATTATTTAGAAATTATTCAAGTATTTAATTCAGCAATTTTTTTTTAATTAAAATATTAATTTATTGATTATCCGATCGTACTGTTTGTTGAGCTGACCCATGAACTCATACCTACCCGACCCGACATTCCTGTGAATCGTTTCATTCCTAATAAATGTCACGTCTATTGTCGCCCGAGTATTAACCGGTATTGTTGTCTAATAATAATAATAATAATTAAAAAAAAATAATTAAATACAATATTTATTTTTATAGTAATATAGTTATAGTAATATTAAAAACGAAATAATAATAATAAAGGGGTGTTTCACATATTACGTTCGCACTTAAGGGGATGGGGGAAGGTTGCCAAAGCAAACTTTTACGTACGAGGGGGAGGGGTTTATTTAGATTTAGATAATATTTTATTTCTTAGTGGTGGGGGAAGGGGGGGGATTGCGCTTAGGGATATGCGAACGTAATTTTTTTTAAAAAATGACTATATGCGAATAATTGCGAGCATAGGGGATGGAGAGGGGGTCTAGATTTCTTGCAAAAAAATTGCAAACGTAATATGTGAATCGTTCCTAATTATTATTATACTGTATATTATAATTACAGTAAACTTAATGTGTGTGCCATTGGAGATCCAGGAGCTATCAATTTGGCCATTAATTGACTGATAATTAGCTGTCAGATTGTATAGGTTGGCACCCGGTTTCGGGTCTATGAGTATGTCCTTAAAACCACCGCCGGTGACCAAACCATTACTGTCATTATTGTCGATACCAGCTAACGATTGCCACAGCCATCGACCTACCGATCCCAGCGAATAGTGATTGAATGAATTCATACCCGGATCCTGGAAACCCTTATCTCGGGTCCAACCGTCCCAACGTTCCCATATTGTAGTGGCATTGTTACGGATACTGTAGCCCCAGGACGGGTAGGTGTCCTGTAGGAGCAGCCGCAGGGCTACGTCGTGGCGGCCAAACTCGGACAATGTCGGACACAGATAGCCTACACCTATGCATATATAACATACCGTTTTTTATTAACACAGTTTAACAACATTAACACAACTAACCGATAAAACCGGTGGTCAGATGCCAGTCATGCGCCCGTATATTATCGACTAAATGATTGACGGCCAACGGTCGTAGCCGTTCGGGTAGCAATTCGAAGGCCAGTGCCAACAGATAACCGGTTTGCGTATCGCCAGCAATACGGCCATCCGTTTGGTTGACAAACTCGCGATTGAATGCCTGGGCAATCGATTGGTGTAATTGACGATATTTTAGGACATCAGCGGTACGGTTGACCGTAACGGAGGCCATCCTGGACATCAACAGTGCATCGTAACCATAGTAGGCTGTATTCATAACCTCTTTGGGTGTCCGGGCGTTAACCTGTAGCCAATCGCCGTAATTATTGTTGACACGTTTGGTCCACAAGTGATCGGGATTTTCGGCCGCAATATATTGAAACCATTTTTCCATTGACGGCCACTGGAGGTCGACTATACGATGGTCGCCAAACATCGTCAACATAGTATAGGGTAGTATTACACCGGCATCACCCCATGCCGGTGCTCCGTCATAGGGGTCGACCATACGCGGTGCTACATCGGAAAAGCCGCCTTCGGGGGACTGGCCATCGCGTACATCGCGTAACCATTTTGTATAGAAAGCCGATACGTCGGCCATATAGCTGGCCGTCGGGGCAAATATCTCTGCGTCGCCCATCCAACCCATACGTTCATCGCGTTGTGGACAGTCGGTCGGGACGGACAGGAAATTACTGCGCTGTCCCCACTTGATGTTACTAATCAATTGGTTGACCAGCTGGTCGGATGTGACCAGTTTGGACAGCATCGGTGTATCCGAGTGTATGACCCGAAACTTGAGATCAGTTAGTTTGGGTTCGCCGTCCGGATAGCCGACCAGTTCAACATATCGGTAGCCGTGAAATGTAAAGTGCGGTTCAACTGTGTCTGTGTCCTCCTCCTCGGCATCGGTTGTATCTAAAAAAGGTATTTAAAGTATTAGTTAGTATATGTTTGGGTGAATATAAAAGAAACGGTAGATAAACATACACATACACATACACATATACATATACATACACATACACATATACATACACATACACACACATACACATACACATACACATACACATACACATACACATACACATACACATACACATACACATACACATACACATACACATACACATACACATACACATACACATACACATACACATACATACTCATTACATACAGACCCATACCTGTGAATACATAGGTATCGGTAGCCAAAACTGATCGCAAATTTAAGGTATATATGGATCCGTTTGGATTCAAAGCTTCGGCGTGTCTGATCTGTACCCGTGCAGCACCGGTAGGTCTCCTTAATTGTATCCAACCGGCCGCATTTTGGCCAAAATCAAATACCCAAACACCGGGACTTGACTGCCATTTAGCTACTGGTATCAGTTCCTCAATTACCCTGATGGGTACACCCGGATCGGCTAACAGTGCTAAATGTTTACTATCGTCTACTGGCCGGGCAACTACTTCGGGCCATTTGCTATCATCAAACCCAGTTGATCGCCAATTTTTTGGCTCCAGGTGCTCATAGTACAGCTGTCCGTGAAGCATATCCGAGTACATCAGAGAACCGGTACCTACTTTCCATGATTGATCTGATTTGATAATAATTTCATCCTCCCTGTCCCCACTGTCATACTGGACATGTAGTTCCGTCCAAAACGATTGTTGTCGGCCATAGTGGGCGTAATTTTTTTGCAATCCAATATAGCCACTGTACCAGCCGGTGCCCAATAGGACACCTATAGTATTATCAGTAGTAGTACTGGCATTGGTCAGCAGCAGCTCAGTTACATCATAGGACTGATAGTTATAGGTTTTCAAATAGTCAGTCCAACCGGGACTTAGCTGATGATCGGCTACCAGTTTATTGTTAATCCAAACTTTATAGACTCCCTGTGCTGTAGCGTACAGTATAGCGCGTTTGACTTTACGACTACCCCTTGACGACAATGATGATGATGATACTGACTGTCCCAAACTAAACTGTTTACGCATATAGAGCATCGGTAGTAAACCTTGGTGATCTTGTACTACCTAGATTATTTAAAAAAATAATTTAAAAATTAAAAAAAAATTATAAATATATATATGAAATACAGTATAACCTATTTTTAGAAATTAATTATTTAGATATATGTTGACGTAATTTATTTAATTAAACGTAATTTATTAATAACCCAATATTGTCTAAATAATAAATAAATAAATAAAATAGTAATGTATGCTATTTTTAATGATTATAATTATGATTTTTTTTATATTGTAATAACCTTGTACAATTTTTTAAGAGAGAAAAAATAATTTTAAAAAATTGTAAATCTATGTGTGAAATACAGTATAACCTATTTTAGAAATTAATTATTTAGATATATGTTGACGTTATTTATTTAATTAAACGTAATTTATTAATAACCCAATATTGTCTAAATAATAAATAAATAAATAAAATAGTAATGTATGCTATTTTTAATGATTATAATTATGATTTTTTTTATATTGTAATAACCTTGTACAATTTTTTAAGAGAGAAAAAATAATTTTAAAAAATTGTAAATCTATGTGTGAAATACAGTATAACCTATTTTAGAAATTAATTATTTAGATATATGTTGACGTTATTTATTTAGTTAAACGTATTTTATTAATAACCCAATATTGTTTAAATAAATTACTATTTAAAAAAAATATATAGTAATGTATGCTAATTTATTTTTTTAATAATTATAATTATTTTTTATTTTATTGTGTGATCACCCTGATCAATTTTTATTAGTTAAAAATTATATATTTTTTTCATAAATACTTACTTTTTTATCGATATCTGCCAACTGTTTGAGCGCCTCCTGTTGTAGACCATTGGGTGCCGAAATCCATTGACCGGACCATTGACTACCACCACCACCACTACCGCTACCCAAACCGTTACCCCAATAGGCAATTGTACTGTAGTTAGACTCTCGGGAGTCCTGATCCCATACCTTAACCATCCAGTAGGCTAACTGACCGGCACTAAGTGGTCGTCCCTTATATTCAATATGATTTGATTGATTGCTTACGACTTTTCCACTGTCCCATAGATTACCCGTATTTTTCTGTAATAAAGTTTCCGTATCGGTAGCAACCAGTATCTGATAAGCCGATTGCCATAAATTATGTTTCCGATGGTCAATGGCCTGGAGTAGCCATTGTAGACGCGGCCCGGGTATGTCCACTGCTAACGGATTGACCAGATATTCAACTTTTAGATCACTGACCGATATATCACAACATTTTATTGATGTCGTCGATGAAAATAAACTAATTATTAATATAAATATTAATTGTTTTATAAATAATAGCAATAATAATAAATTCATTGTTTAATTAATAATTTTTATTTTTTTTGTTTGAAAAAATTATATTTGATTTTTTCCCCCAAATAATAATAATAATAATAATAATAATTAAAAGTTTAATGCTTTAATAATATTATTATAAACTTGAATTTATATCTAACTTTTAATAATATATAAACTTGAACTTTAAGTATATCTATTTAATATATATATATATATATTGATAATTAAAAACAAATTGAAAAAAATAAATATTTTAGATAACATATATCTATTTTATTGTTTAAAATAAGTACATTTAAACATTTTTTCAAAAAATTAATATTAGTATTATTATTATTATTATTATCTAATCTATGTTTTAAAAAAGTTTATTAACTAACAGTGCACTTACTTTTTTTAAAAAAAATAATGTATAATTTATAGACAAATAACACATGTTTTTATTTAATCAATAATATAATTATTGTTTTTATTTTATTTTTTAAATCCTGTTTTTTTGAAGTAGTTTTTAACACATATTTAAAAAAAATTACAATTTTAATTATTAGTATTTTTAGTACATTTTTAGTACATTTTTAACATTTTTTTTATTAAAAAAAACTGTCTAAAATTGCTGTTATTATCAACAAAAAAAAATATAATTGAAATTTAGACTTATCTTAATTATCAAAAAATATTAATACAAAAATAGTAATAAACTTTTACTGTATTACTAATACTTACAGTATTAGTATACCATATCATACATAACTTTTAATGGTTTAAAATAAAATAAATAGTTTTAAAAATAAAAATTATTAATTAACATAATTGAGTCTCATATTAACTATAATTTATAAATCTCTATTATTATTATTTATAATTTATAAATATTATTTAAAAAATTATTTTTTATTATATTAATTTTTTAGAGATAATATCTATTCACTTAAATTTAACAAATTAATTACAATAATTGATAACAATCTATGAATAGGAAATTAATAATAATATTTGAAATAAATTACTGATAAAATAACTAAACTATAAATAATACTGAAACAAATATGTAATTAAATAAATATAAAAATCATTTTAATTATTTATTTTTTTTAAAAAATCATATATAGTGTAATATTTTATTGTTTTTATCAGGAAATATTATAACAAAATTATTATTATTTAATTTGTTTTTAAAAAAACGGAAATTATAATTTAAACTATTATACTGTACTGTACTAATTAACAATAAATTAAATATTATTTATAATATAATATAATTTTTTTTATATATGTTTGTTATAAAAAAAAAATTAATACTAATAATAATAATAGTATTATTTTTTTGTTATTTATTTTTTCTATAGCATTGAACTGATAAACAAAACAATTATTTTATTTATTTTTTTTTTGATTTTTTTTTTAAATATATATTTTGAAAATAATGTCAAAAAAATCATTAAAAATATTGATTGTACCCCAGGAGCTGGCCGGACATGTTAGGGCCACCCTATGTCTGGCTCAGGTACTACGCCAGAGAGGTCATCGCATTTGCTACGCTATTGATAGCTCGCACCGGGAGTTGGTGGCCAACAACAACACCAACAACAACACAACCGATGGACAACACAATCACGGTTTCGATACGGAAATCATTGACAATCGGCTGATTGATGGCCACTATCGGCTAAATGGTTACGAATCGGAACTGTCCGGCGGTTTAGAGGTGACTAAACCGAAAACCATTTGGTGGTTTACCCGTAATCTATTGCTAACAACCCGACAGTTGACACTATTGAAAATTTTTGCTACACTAGTGTACAGTTGGTTTAATAAGGATATTAAACTTCACCGTATTATCCAAAGACAACGACCCGATTTGATTTTGATGGACGACTTGCATACCTTTCCCTCAATAGTTTATTCGGGTATACCCTGGGTCTGGCAGGTTAGCGGCAATCCGTTAAGCGTTTATGATGATACCGACATACCGACACCTTTTTTAGGTATGTGTATGTCTATGTGTGTGTGGGGGGGGTAGGGATATAAGTGTATATGTGTGTATGTATGTGTGTGTTTATGTGATTGTTTATATGTGTATGTATGTATCTGTGTGTGTGTGTGTGTGTGTGTGTGTGTGTGTGTGTGTGTGTGTTTATGTGATTGTTTGTATGTGTGTGTGTGTGCTTAGATGATTGTATGTATGTGTGTGTGTGTACTGTATGTGTATTTTTGTATACAGTATATACTGTACATGTATGTGTGTTAATATATGTTATTATAAATAGTATAATTTTATATATTAATCACAAAAAAAAATAATTTAATTCAAAACTATTAGTATTATTATTAACTCTAATTAGTGTAATATTACTATTATATAACTATATAGGTTTGTCCAATAGTACGCCGCCTACATTAAAATCAACAATATTTGGATTATTATATCGTAGTTATCTAATAGTGTTGACATTACTCTACAAATTGGGTTATCTATTGCGCGGATATCCCGCTAATCCGGATAATCGTTATATACCTCTATCACCCTATTTAAACCTATGCTACTATCCGGAGGAACTGGACTATCCTATTGCCAACAATAGTAGTGATGGACAACAAAAAAATATACGTAAACTAATCTATCGTATCGATACAATGTGGTCACCAAAGTATGACCAGTCTAGTGATGGTAAGACATCGATAATTGGCGAACCATTGAAACAGTTTATTGATGAAAGTCGGGGCAAAAAACTAATACTAGTATCGATGGGATCCTATTGTTCAGGCGATCGGCAATTTATGGATAAACTAATCGGTATATTAGCCAAAACAGAGCACAGGTAGGTATGTGTGTGTGTGATAAGTCATACCGTATTATACCGTATATATCAGGGTTGCGAAATATTTTTGATCTCGGCGGGGTATTAGGGGGGAGGGTTGTTGAACAATTTTTATTGCATTTTTAAACAACAATTTTTGCCAAATTAGAGTAAATTCCCAATAAATTCCCAATAAATTCCCAATAAATTCCCAATAAATTCCCAATAAATTCCCAATAAATTCCCAATAAATTCCCAATAAATTCCCAATAAATTCCCAATAAATTCCCAATAAATTCATACTAAATTCACACTAAATTCCCAATAAATTCACACTAAATTCCCAATAAATTCACACTAAATTACCAATAAATTCCCAATAAATACCCACTAAATTGGTAGGGGTCGCCTAACTTTTTGACTAGGCCAGGGGGTAAAAAACTAAAAATTTCAGGGGGGTAATATGGCCTTACCCCCTACCCTCCCCTATCGCAACCCTGGGTGTATATACCTAGTTTGATATACATTTTTGTTGTTATGTTTTGAACAGGTATATAGTGGCTAAAGGCTATAATGGCGATAGTTATCAGTTGCCGGCAAACAACATGTATGGCCAACCGTTTCTACCTCAACGACAACTACTACCTCATGTGGATCTACTGGTGACTAATGCCGGCAACAATAGTCTATGCGAAGCACTGGTATACGGACGGCCATTGTTAGCCCTACCGCTGTATTTGGATCAGTTTGATAACGGCCAACGTCTACAGGAAATGGGTTACGGTTTACAATTGGATGCACACAACTATACCGATGGCGAGCTCAGGGATGCATTGGATATATTGCTTAGCGATAGTCAACTAAAGGAACGTTTGAATCGGATATCCCGGCGATTGATTGAATCCGATAGACTAGAAATTGCTGTCAAAATGATTGAAAATTTAGTGATATCTTAAAAATAAATTATATCTAATATTTTATTATTATTTTTTTTTTTGAAATTTATTAATGATTTTTTGTATTAATTAATTAGTTAATTGTATTTTTTTTTAGAAAATTTAGTTGTCTATATAATAATTATAATTTTTTATTAAATTTTAATTAAATATATATAAATTTTATTGATTAGATTCATATAAATAAAATTAATTTAATTGGAAATTTAATTAAATTTTGTAATTAATTTAATTAACTATTTAAATCAAATTTACAATTATTATACATAAATCAAATGCTAACAAATTTGTCTTAAATATTAGTTTAGTAAATATAGATTAAATAATAAAATGTTAATTTAAAGTAATTAATATTTAATTTTATTTAATACTATAGTGTGTAAAAAAGTAATAAATTAATAGTTTAAAACTTGTAAAAAATACATAATTATTTAAATCAAGACTAAATAACCAAGTTTATTTTGAAAATAAATTAATACCAATAGTGAACCACAAGTAATACATAATAATTTTCAGTAATAAAAAATATTTAAATATTATATCTAAAAATAAATAAATAATTTGTTTTTGTTAGAAATTTTAATTAATTAATTGGATAGATAATTTTATTTTTTTTAAATAATAACATTTTTATCATATATATTAAAACTATGAATAGAATTTAAATTTTATATAATTTTATAAAACAAAAATTATAATTTACTAAACAATTTTTTAATTAATAACAAGTAATTATTGATGTTTTTCTTAAATTAATAATTCAAAATAATTTTGATTAATTAATTAATTAAATATATTAAAAATTTAAAATTTCTCATGGAATCTATTGTCTATTGTTTGAAAATTTATTAATTTATATAAATAATATTAAAAAGCAATTTTATTAATAATTTACAGTTTTCCATAAAAAATACATTGTTTATACCATTATTAAATTAAATTAATAATTTAAATAAAAGTAAGTTAACATAACTACTGATATATTAATTTTGTTTTTTAGATTACTTTTTTAAAAATGTATTGATAATTATGAATATAATGATTGTTTATATATTTGACAAAATAATATATTTATGTTTTTTTCCTTAAAATAAATATTTAATCAATTTTAGTATATATTTATAAAATTAAAAATAAAATTTCAACACAACTGTTTTAATTAAATTTTTATTAAATTTTGAATAATAATAATTAAGCATATTAGGTTTTTTTTATAAAATATTTTTTAAAAATTTATTAATAAGAGCAATAAATATTTAAATTTAGTAAATTAAGTTTTTTAATAATTAAAATTTAAATAATTTTTATACATATACTAAATAACGTTTCAATATTATAAAATTAGTAAAAATTTATATATAATACTGTAATAGACTTATAAATAGTAATAAATTATTTTAAAATTACTAAATAATAGTGTATTTATAATTGTGAATAAAAATTGAAAGTATATAAAAACTATATCTAAATATACTTATAAATTTGTTTTTAAATTTTATATATTGTTCAAGTTTTTTTAATTAATTAATTAATTCGTATTTATTAAAAAAATAATTTACTTCAATTAAATTAATTTGTGTTTTATCTTACTCTATGTTTCATTTTTATATAAAAAATTAATAATCGATATTTATAAACATATCACAGATTACAATAATAATACAATCTTATTAAAAGTATAATATTAATTTTTAAAATAATAAATAAGTAAAAAAAAAATATTTGTTAAAAATAATTATGTTTTAATTACATTAAACTTATTTTAGAAAAAAAATAATGTAATAAAATTTAATATTAATGTTTACTTAAAGTTTGTTATAATTATTATCATTTATAATAAATAAATAATATATTAACTTATTATTATTATTATTTGTTATAAAATTTTATTTTAATTAATTTTGAATTAAAAAGCAGTATACAAATATATTGAAAACTAAAAACTATAAATATTTTATTTTCTTTAAACTAAATAATATAATATTGAAATTATTTTACAGTTAGCTAATAAAATATAAACAATATTTTATAACAATTTAATAATATTTGTAATAAATTTAAATATTAGTTTTGTTAATATTAAAAAAAATTATAGTTACTTAGTATAATAAAAAAATAAAATTTTTAAAATAATACTAAATTTTTATAATTTTTTAAGTTATTTGTTTTAAATTTTTTTAAATAAATAAAAATTATATTTTTGTCTAATATCAATTAATATTATATTGTTTATAAATATCTCTATTAAAATTAATTAACTAATAATTTACAGTTTGTAGAAATATATACATATAAAAATAATAGTTTATTTATTATTAATTATTATAAATAAACTTTTATATAATTTCTAATAAAGATAAATGATTATTTAATCGTAAAAGTAATTAAATAATTGAAATTTAATAAAAATTATTTATTATATTATAGATTATTTAAGCTATAACTATTTAAAAAATTTGTAATAAGAAATTGAAATAACAATTAATATTAATATAGATTAATATACAGTATTTTATTTTTTTTTAAATTGTCTAAATTATTATTATGATAAATTTTAGAAAATTAATATAACTATAATTATTGATATTGTAGGGGAAGTGGGTATATTACGGGTATCTAATCTTGTCTAACCTTACTTATGTAAACCAAACACTCGACAATACACCACTTACCTTACGGTTTTGACTCTTGTAGTGATAACCTATAGTAATACGTGGCTAAGGAACGAGCGGCTTTCCTATGTTAACTCTGAGTATTCTATTTTTCTATCTTTTAAGTAATGCTAAGAGCTACACGTACAGTATTACAGACTCGTTAAATGTTTATTATGGGCAAGGCACCCATCTGGGATCATGGACCCATCCTGGGACAGGCACCCATCTGAGGTCTGGTACCCATCCTGGTTCTGGTACCCATCCTGGGTCTGGCACCCAACCAGGGTCTGGCACCCATCTAGGGTCTGGCAACCATCTAGGGTCTGGCACCCATCTAGGGTCTGGCACCCATCTAGGGTCTGGCACCCATCCAGGGTCTGGTACCCATCTAGGGTCTGGCACCCATCCAGGGTCTGGCACCCATCTAGGGTCTGGCACCCGTCAAGGGTTTCAGACTCGTCAAGGGTTTCAGACCCGTCAAGGGTTTCAGACCCGTCAAGGATTACAGACCCGTCAAGGGTTTCAGACCCGTCAAGGGTTACAGACCCGTCAAGGGACACAGTCCCGTCGAGTCGCAGGCCCGTCAAGGGACACAGTCCCGTCAAGGGTTACAGGACATAAGGTTATAAATTATGGTTTACTTAATAAAGATTACTCAATAACGGTTATACTAAGGTATCCTAAGAGTCGTCCGTTTACGGATACGGAGTCCGGAGTTCTCATAATAAAAATATTTACTTACGTAATAGTTGTTTAACGTCCGCGTGGTTATGGAGTTATCAAAAGGCGTCCCTTGTGATGTCCAACGGTTGGTCCGCGTCGAGAAAGTAAACACACACAAAGTAATATGCAAATACTTTTATTGAAACACTTTAAAGTAATACACACGGTATGACTCCAAGTGGAGAACTGATTTTGGTGTCTAAAAGACACCTCTATTTATACTAAAGTGTACGTGAGAAATAATTAGGCCGTATTGAGTCAGCTTTAATCCCTATTCTAAACTGGGCGTAAACCATTCACTTTTCTGTATAATATTTCAATACATTATTTTAACAGTGAAATACTAAGTAAAAATAACATAAAACTTTGCTAAAAAGTAGGTGCTTACTATTCACTTTTCTGTATAACATTTCAATGTATTTTAAGATTGAATATTATCTGAGAAAAGTTAAAAACAAACAAAATAATATATTATAAATTAAATCAAAGTTAGTAGTAATACATGTTAGTATTAAACAAACCTTGGTTTGAAAATATAATTATTTAAATAAAAATAAAACAGCCTTGTGTTAAATTCTCTTTGAATCAAAAATCTTAGCTTTGAAATGGCACTGAGTACCTATAACACTTCCGCCCCTTCAAGTCTGCATCTGTCCTCAGATGCGTAATTAAGATATTACGTATGGTTCATAACTATCACTCATGTACACAATAGTTTACAACTAATTTTTATAAACTAATTATAAATTTCAAAATTTCATGCATTATATATCATAAATCTATAGACTACAAATTAACCATGCATTATATTAAATTTTAATTGCTGTCTGTATCATTAGTATAGTTATTAAATTCTATTCAATCCATTTGATAACCCTCTTCACCTATTTGACTATGAGTTGTAATAAAGTGTAGTCAATCCTTATTTCCTTTACATTGTCTAGCAATGTGTCCGTATTGACCGCACTTAAAGCATTTTATAGCATCCCATTCTACTCCAGTACCGCTTTCTTCGCCATTGAATCTATTAAAACCTTTTAAAATTAATCTTCTTATATCTTTCAAATTGTCGAAAATTCTTTGAATGTCTTTTGATTGCTTTATTACATATGTTTCCACGTTGTTGTCTACTTGTTTTATGTCAATTTTAGTGTAATTATCTTGATCTTTCTTCTTATTCATTTGTTGATATCGTTTAACGTCACAAATACGTTTTAAAAGATTTTTGAATTCATCAATAGTTGAACAGGGATTTGTAATTAATTTATCCATTACTTCATTTTTTAAATCACCCTCCATTCCTTCTAACATGTATGCAATCATGTCATTATCACTGGTATTGGGTTTAGTCAATTTTATCAATCCGAATTTTTCTTCAAAGTATTCATTAAAATCTTTTGATTGAGTTAAATCAAACATTGTTTTAGTAAAAAATAATTCGTTCAGTTTGTTAGAGAAATTCTCTTTCAAAAGTAATTTGAAATTTTCCCAATCAGTAACTGTTTTCATAAGAATTTGGTTTTGATACCAAATTCTGGCGGCGCCGTCGAGACAACCAATGACTCTTCTCAATTTTAAATCAGAATCCCATAGATTTGCATCCGCAATTATTTCGTAGTGATTCAACCAAATAACAGGATTAGTTTTACCATCATAAGGCTTTGGCTGTAACATAGGCATGTTAGGCTTAACGTTTATTCTTGCATTTTGAGTTTCATTCTTTTCATTGTCTCCGATGTTTTGTAATGCCGAAACCTCACGATTGTCATAGCTAATAGTTTCCAAATCGTCGTAAAGATGAGATGGCTCAGTTTGATGAAATTTTTCAGCAAATGATTTTTCAGCCATGTTTATTTGGGCAAAATGATATTCTAGTTTTTACAGATAGATTGTAATTATGCACAATTATACATTTTAATTGGCCAATTAACGATAATGTACAAATTAAACAATACTGTAATTTACGTTAAATTATTATTATACTTATATAATAATAGTTAATACATATATTCATGATTATATTTAAGCTTAATTTTATCTAGTCGACCCTATAGTTCTTTCTTTTGTGCAATTCGATGTCGCACAATAGATCATGATTTTAACTTAATTTACACATTAACTTTCGATATATATATCTCTCGATGCAACATTTAATCACATCACTGTATTGCCACCATCGGCGATCTATACTATTCAATGTATCGGAACGGTAACATCACTATTGCCACTATCGGCGATCTATACTATTCAATGTACCGGAAAGGTAACATCACTATTGCCACCATCGGCGATCTATACTATTCAATGTACCGGAAAGGTAACATCACTATTGCCACCATCGGCGATCTATACTATTCAATGTACCGGAAAGGTAACATCACTATTGCCACCATCGGCGATCTATACTATTCAATGTACCGGAAAGGTAACATCACTATTGCCACCATCGGCGATCTATACTATTCAATGTACCGGAAAGGTAACATCACTATTGCCACCATCGGCGATCTATACTATTCAATGTACCGGAAAGGTAACATCACTATTGCCACCATCGGCAATCTATACTATTCAATGTACCGGAAAGGTAACATCACTATTGCCTATCCAAACAAACCTAGCATTCGCAGATTAATGTTACAACTATATAAAATCCCAAAATTAACTTGTTTAAATTTTAAAACTAATTTCGGCCGCCATTTTGAACATGTTCCCGATGACATAGGATATTTTTTAGTGTAATCAATTATAGTTAATTTTTAATATTTAACCGAATCTCAAATCAAAATTTCAAGATTTTCAAAAAACATTTGCCAGACATTTACATTTAGAATTCGATTAACTATTTAATAAGTTTATCTTAAAAATTATTTTTGACGTGACATGTATATGTTTTGTAGTATTCAGGTTTAACAGAACATCGACCTAATTAATGTTATTTTTTGCATAAAAATATTTTAGTAAAAATATATTGTGTAATGCATACACAACAATAATAACTATACAACAGGTTATGTATTCAAATGCTTATCCAAATTATTAGCATTTCTTTTTAATTTTTAAATTTATTACAAATAATGCCATAAATTTTGAACAGTAAAATTCATTAAATAAACATTTTATTTGTTGTATTTATTAAGAAAATAAAACATATATTCAAAGGGAAAATATATGTTTGCAAAAGAAAAAATCAAAAAATAATTTTTGTATATTTTTTGTAAGACAAGTCATTATAACAAGTTTTCATTTAGGTTTTGTTAACTCAAGGTTTAATACAACTCATTGCTTTAAAAATTTTGTTATGAAAAGTGCTATAACCTTGAATAGCCTTAAGCTATACACAAGTATTATAGTAAATTTAAATTAGTTTTGCTTTATCTAATATGTATAAAAATTTATTTTAATTATTATTTTTAATATTATTTCAACAATTAAAATATATATTTGTTAAATATTAAAAATATAATAACAATATTTTTTTTAATTGAAACATGCAGATATTTATTCGAAACTCTATTTATACATGAAAAATATTTTATTTTATAGTTATTCAATTTCATACAATAATTTTTGCAAAAAATTATTTTTATTACTTTTTACATACTTGTATAAACCAGTTTATTATATAAAACTTTTTTACAACATTATAATACAGTATTACAGAAACACAAGTTATTATATAGGGTCTAACTTTACTTCAATAACTAAATTATTATTTTTTACATAACTAGCAATCCAATCTCTCAAAAATATAAAACAGTTGCTGTTTTTCATAATACTATCGATATTATCATTGACATTATTTACTTTACATTTATATGCAAAACCTTTATTTAAAATTAGGTTATTTATACAGAGCATAACTTTATATTTTTTAGTAGTCTCCCAATGATGTAAACATTTAACATATACAGCATATAATACAGTATTGCTGTAAATAAATTTGTGTACATTTAGCAAAAATTTGGTGTTGTATACTTCAATTATAATGGGCCACATATTTTTGTCATCGTTGAACAATTCTGTGACTTCATATTTAAGGTATGAGCTATGATGAGTCGGCAAGAAGCCATGTGCATCATTTATGTGTAGAATCGCGGTGTTAAGATCACCATTAAATTGACAATTATCTCCAACAAGCGGGCAATTAATTGTTGTGTAAGTACAGCTGTTTTCATGTATTAATTTTTTTTCAATAGACAATAAAGCACTACACCCTTGATCAGCATAAGTACAAGGAAATCTATGATCTTCGAGTACATTTTCTAATGCCAAATTTCGCGATTTGGTATCCAAACTTTCGCGACAGACAGGACAATTATTATTATGCAATTTCGGCAAACAATTGTTACATGTAATGTGCCCATTGCGACACTGATATAATGGTGGGCAACATAACTCGTCACAAACTTTACACAAAAGTATGTTAACTAACTTTGAATGTGCTATCATTTTTACTGTAGCTTTTAGGTTAACCTCTCTATTTATTTAAATGTTTTTATTTATTTTTTATTAAATATTTGCTAATAAATTTTTTCCTACTTAAGGTGTAACACTATTAAAAATTATGTTAAGGACATCTTTAAATTAGTATATATATACGAGTTACAAAGTTATAAACGTATACAATGGATAGTTTCTCCGACTGTTTTCAAAGGTATAATCAAATGTATCAATTTTGTATATTAATACTAATTAATTGTATAGCCCAGACTGGCCAGTTGTTCGTGTCTCGGGTATATCAGTACTCGAGAACAGTAACATCAATATCTCAGTAAACCCAGAGATAGTGAGTTTATTGGATGATGTGTCCGACATTGAAGACAACACTACAGTAAATATTATAAACCGTATGTTTTCAGAATTTGAAGAATTACGAATTTACTTCTCATATACCGGACCTCTAAGGTAATTATAAATTTAATTTTAATTATTGATACTGATCAAGATTATTAGACGATCATTTTATAGTAATGGGAGACGTAGAGTTATATCATCCCGTCATAACCTTGTATGTCTGTGGAGAAATTTTTTAGAGATTGTACCAACAAATCCCGACTATACTATTACAACTAATTTATTGGTTCACACTTTTCGAAATATTTCAAACGGTTTGGATTTTTTAAACAATATTGTTGGAAACACATTTGGAAACATGGACCAGTATTACTATTTCTCAAATTTCATACAAGCAACTACTCAAATAAATTTAATATCGCGTAATTCAGGAATCATAAACCTATTGATAAACACTGATACTACAACTGGAATTGACCCATTGTTGTTAATTATTAAAAATAACGGTTTTATTTTTAATTTATGATTATAATTGAAATGCTTTAAATTAATTAAAGTATCTTATCTCTCAGTTGTTTATGTTTTTGATCCAATACAAAGAGCAAGACGTAGACGCTATTTACCTTACACATTACAGAGACTTATACGAGTATGTACTAATGTATTAACTATTAGGCGTCTTTACTTTTCTCAATTGGAAGACATTGAAGTTTTTCAATCCTGTTTGTTATTCATTGGGTATTTGTTAGATGGCTACGACATAACTAATTTTCATTATTATCAATTTAATTTGCGTGTAACTTTTTGAATAAAATTTATTTTAAAATTATTTATTTAATTAAATATTTTTTAACAAGATATTTTGTATTAT